AAACCTGCTGCTATTTGAAATAATGGTCAAATGTTGAGGTGTTTATTTCCCACAGACAGAAAATCATGATTTTTACCCAAATAAGAAGAATTGATTGCATGTGAGAAAAACTCAGGAACCCAGTTGTTTCATTCTGTTTCTTTAAGGCAGCTTCAAGATATATCTATAGGAATGAAGACTTTAAGGGTTCCCATATCTGAGAGCAGACTACAGTTACTGGCAAAGTTCACCTGTTTTAACACAGATCGTAGCAGTACGGTACGAAGCATAGGATGACTATGAAATACAAGCGTACACCAGTAGAGGGCAGAATGGTTCTTTCTTTCTCCATCCCCCCATTTTCTATACTTCTAAAACTTCACAATCTATCAATACATCCTGATGTACAGTTTTTTCTAATAACAGACAAGGCTGTAAAAGCTAGACATGTTCTTTATGGTGTTTATGCACAAAGGTTACAAAGGTTGTCTTGACATTTGACCTCTTTAAATACTAAGTACAGTAACAGAGAAGGAAAACATTATTTTGTGTTGTGACAGTCTCTGACCTTGTTCAGTCAATGCTTTTTGCTATTATAATTTGCTTGACTACGGATTATAACTAATGCAACATCAGGTCAATTGTTTAAATATGTTTTAATAAACAGAAATATTGACATATTATTATTGAATGTAATATTCATAGGATCTTGAGTCAATTGTGTCTCTAAATCACACAAGGTCTCTGCTTTAGGTGGGCTGAATCAAGCAAGAATTGATCTAAAGAAGAACATCTCTTTACAGTTGATTTATAAATAATTGTATATATACATATTTACATACAGTTTAAGACAATGTACTTCATCAGCAAAATCATGAGTCTGTGGTTTTGAAGCCCTACCTGATTCTGACTTTAAATATTCATTCCAGCTCAGTAGTTCATTCCATTTTTAGTCATTATTAATGTTCTCCATTATACCCACTGACAGAGAGCAGTGGGCAGATTGGGCTGTAAATGTGAGCCTGTGCAGCTTCGGGTACATCCCCTGATCCACATGTATAAACGGTTAGACAGTACTTGGATTCCTTTCTGTCATATCAGAAGCTTTTGGTCTTACTCTCCTCTGTCATTACTATTTCACCATTTTTCAGTTTCTCAACCCACTGTTTCTCACAGACTCCCAAGATGTGCATTCAAACGTGCAGAAAGTCTGCACGTTTTTTTTTCTGTTCCTTTTGTGCAAGCATATTTGCAGATTAGTTGTAGATTGAGTTCACACGTTGAATATAGCTAGCATAGGGCTCTACCTCCTCCACATCTTCTGTCTGGAAAAAAAAGCAATAATAGGTGTGATTAACAAAACTAATAAAAATGTAGCGCATAACATATCTGCTAAGTTTACATACCGGTGGGGATTTGGAATCAGCCTGTTTGCATCTTCTGTTTACAGTTACACAAAAGAACAGTTATTAGATTAAAAAAAAATACAGTCAAAATAAGTCATTCCAACCTATTTCTTTAATCAACAATATTACTTACCTTAACATTATCATTTGTTTTAGTGCAAGAAGTGATAGTCCCACCAAGATTAGTATGATGAGCCCAAGTACTACCCAGAGCCATTTATATCCTGCACTGAGTTTTTCTGTAACTTTACAAAGAAAACCATCATTGCAATACATAATACTCAATAAATTCATCCTTAGATTCATTATAAATTTGAAAGTTTGAATTTAGTTTAATCTACAGAAGCCTGACCTTTTTTTGGTTCTGGTACCAGAGTCTTCTCCAGTTTCCAGGACTTGTGCT